GACATTCAGTTTCTCCAGTCTCTGCTCTCTCTGGAGAGCCACGAGTGTACAGAAGTTCATCATTTTTCTCCTAGAGTAAAAAAGTGGCCACCCTGGGAAAAAAATAACTTGGAAAAAGCCTGAGTGAAGTGGCTCCCTGGAGAATTTCTCTCAGGATAGAGAACTTCTGTATAGGCAGCCCATGGGCTTTGCTGCTTCTCCCTCCCCCTCCAATAGGGGGAGGAAGAACATCTGCCAGTCCCAACCAAGCAGGGAGCAGAACTTCCCAAGTACTTCTGGCAGGAAAAGCCCAGGGCTGAAGCAGTTAGGGGGGGTGTTCTGCTCCTGGCTTGTTGCCTGCTTGAATCACACTGCAGCACTTGGGTGCAGGGAAGTATACAACCGTACACCCTGTCCAGCCTTAGCTGGGCTCCAACACAGCATGGAGGAAAGGAAGGTTGGAGGACTCTTCTGTACATGGCACAGACCCCACTCCCACTTTCCCTGATGCTAACAATCCCCACTTGCCTTCACTAAAAACGCCTGCAAAGGTCCCTGGGCTGCATGCTCTAGGGACCCCTGGCAGCCCAGCATCTGCACTGCAGGCTCTTTATTTCCTTCTCAACTTCTATACAGGCCAGTTTTTCTCTCAGAAAAACCAACCTGAGAAAGTTGTCCTGGATGATTTGAATCCATGTACGCAGCCATAGCTGCAGCACATGATAGGAATGCAAGCAACGATAAACTTAGATCAAGAGATCTATTTGAGAAAGCATGTTTCACAATTTTTACAGAAATATAAATCTCCTTGGTTCAAGTTAGTGCTTGTTCTAAAATTCTCTGTATTACCAGGAACAGAAAGCTGAAGTGACCCATTTAAAAATCTGCAGATACCCAGGGATAATGGGCGAAATTCTTACAGCAGAGCAGAATGTGTGATATAACAATGTGATCAGAAAATGAAAAGGCTTTATTTGGCCATTTACTTCCAATTAAAAGGGTATATAAGAGACCAAAGGAAATGGCTGAGTTAATTTCAGAGATACTGGCTATCTTCTTTTGAGGGCTTGTGAAGAGCAGGTGAGGTCCTAGATGATTGAAGGGCAAATAGTGCCCATCTCTTAAAAAGAGAAGGAAGATCCAGGAAATTACAGACTAATCAGCCTGGCATCAATATCTGGAAAGATTATGAAGTGGGTCCTCAAAGAATGTATTATAAAGCACCTAGAGGAGAAAAAAAGTCATTAGGAACAGCCAATATGGATTCACCAAGAGCAAATCATTCCTGGCCAACTTGATTTTTTTTTAGGATAAGGTGACAGACTAGATGGAAGGAGAGCAGTGATACGACATACCTGAACTTTTGCAAGGCTTTTGACACTCACAACATTCTTATTAACAAGCTAAGGAAATACAGGCTACATGAAAGTACTGCAAGTCAGAAATGTAACTGACTGAACAGTCGTACACAACAAGTAATCATCAATGGCTCAATGTCTAGTTGGGAGCAGGTATCAAGTTCCCCAAGCATCTGACCTGGGTCCAGTATTGCTTAAATAAACTTCATTAATGATGTGGTTAATGGGATTGAGTGCATGTTTGACAAATATGTGGATAACACCCATATGGGTGAAGTTGCAGGCATTCTGGATAGCCAAGATCCAGAATGACCTGGATAGACTGGAGGAGGGAAAAAAGTAGTGGTTCACAGTCAACCAAATGAAATTTAACATGGACAAGTGAAAAATCCTGTATCTGGCACGGAATAATTGCATGCACAAATAGGGACTGGAGGATAACTGCCTAGGCTACAGTACGGTTGAGGAAGACCTGGTGGTTACAATAGGCCAAGGGTAGGCAACTATTTGGGCCTACAGGCCACATAGGGAGTTTTAGGGAGCTGTTGTTGCATGGGGGGTGCTGACCTGGGCCACAGCTCATCAAGCCTCCTTATGTGGGATAGGGAAGCAGGTGGGTGGATTTGGCATGGGCACAGATGGGCTGGCATGGGCACTGATGGTGGTAGGGGTGGGAGGAGCCGCAGGGCAGCCCTGGCACAGGCTCTGGGTCCCGCTTTTTCCCCACTGCCACTGCTCATCATGGCTGGGGGCAGACAGGTATGGAGCGGGTGGTGCAGGGACCCCGGGCCAGGGCTGTGCACTCAGCCTGGCTTCAGCGACAGCTTCTTCCAGCTGCTGCTGCCGCTAGACCCAGCTCCACAGAGACATGCTAGAATCTGTGTGGGAAAGGCCTGAGCCTCAGGCTGAGTGCACAGCTCCAGCCCCAGCCTACTCTGCACAGAGGGTAGGGAGCTGCTGCAGAGCCCACTCCAGGCTCGCCTGCCCCAGCCACAACGAGGCACCAGTGGTGGAGGAAAAAAAAACAGGACCTGGAGTACACGCCAAGGCTGCCCTATGGCTCCTCCCTGCCACTGCCACCACCAGGCTGTGCTGGGCCTCTCCTCAGCAGGGAGGAGCCAAAAGGCTCTGGGTACCGCTTTTTCATCCACCACCGCTGTGGCAGTCGGGACTCGGACCCTTGCACAGACTGGGGCTGCGCACTCAGCTTGGGCCCTGCCTGCACAGGTTCTGGCTGGTCTCCATGGGGCTGGGGCCAGCAGCAGCAATAGCAGCCAGGAGCCACCGCTGCCAGGAAATGGAGTGCAGTTGCAAAGTTGCCCTAGCCCCACTGCACACCCTGAGGCAGGAATCACCATGCCAAATATCTGGGCCAGGCAAAATCAAGGGACCTGCTGCAGGCTGGACAAGTCCCTCCACAGGCTGGATCCAGCCTTCAGGCTGTATTTTGCCCACCCCTGCAGGAGACCATGAGCTGAATATAAACTAAGTGTGCTCTTGTTGTAAAAAAACAAAAACAAACGAACAAACTCAACAGCATACTAGGTTGTATTAACAAGAGTGTCACTTTCAAATCAAATAAATTGATTCTTCTGTTCTAGTCGGTACTCCTGAGACCCTCACCTGGAGTACCATGTCAAGTTTTGGGCCCTACACTTCAGGAAGGACATGGTCAGAATCGGAAAGAGTCTAGCGCAGTGACAAAAATGATTAGAGGCCTCCAAAACATGACTTATGGAGGAAAGGCTGAGGATATTTAGCCTGGAGAAAAGAAGAGAAGACTGAGGGGTGGGGGGACTAGAGGGTAATTAGAGAGAGGATGGAGATTGGCTTCTCTCAGGCTGTAGGGGACAGGACAAGGAGCAACGCCTTCAGGCTGTAGCAGAGGAAATTTAGATTGGAGATTAGGAGGAACTCTCTAACTAAGGCAATGGTCAAGCGCTGTAACAGGCTATCTGGAGAAACTGGAATCTGGAAATGTTCAAGAGCACACTGGACAGACACTTGGCTGGAATGGATTAGTCAAACATGATCCTAATTCTAGCAGGCTGCTAGACTAAACGACCTCTTTACTTTTTGATGATCCTTTTTATAATTTGGTCAGCTATCAATGAGTCCAAAGCAGTCAGTCATTCAGTAATTGGCATAAGAAAAAACAAACTTTTGAGTCTACAAGAGAAGCTTTTTAATATTAAAGGTCCTTTTTGAAACAAAGATCCCATAAGTGCAAGTCTGATCGATGAACATGTGATTTGAAAAAGAATGTGATAAATTTATGTTTCTTCTCTGACAAAACTGCAATCCACCAATTTTTTTTAAGGACATATGTTATAGCATTTAGAAGTGTGTGGGGGGGATGAAAAAGAAAGACACAGTAACAGGAAAATATTAAACTACAGAACTACGGTTGTGTGCGGTACCTGTAGATTCCATTACAAAAAGCCAGATTTGTAAAGTTACGTGAAAGTATGTTCACTTGTCCAAAAGCCTGCTTTTCAATTATCCTCACTAGAAGCCAATCTTCAAACACTTTCTGATGGATAAAAAGGTATATGGCTTCAATTCCTTGATGTGGACCACCTTTTAAATGCTAAATACTGGCTTCAAGGAAAAACAGGATTTCACCCTAAAAATTTATTTATTTCCTTTCTGCAATCATGATATTTATTTTGCTTTGTACACAAGATGCACAGGTTTAGAAATATGCCACATTTATTAACTCTGTTATTCTGTTTAATTAAGCTTTGGATTCCCTAATTTTCCTGTCGGTTAGCAATTTTTGTTCTGGCCCAGAAGATGAACAATAGTAGTAGCACGTAACTCAAGAAAAACTGAATTACTTTCTAAATGACTTCCACTAAAATATTTACAGTATTATTTCACTTACAAAATGCATGCAGCTCAAATAGGCAAGACTTTCTCTAGATGAAGTGTAAAAGCTTCAAAAGACAGATAAAGCCTTAGGAATGTCCAAAATTTATACAGATCTACCTTAGTCATCCAGTTAGTTTATGCAAAAGTATGTTGGTATTGATACCACATCCTGTACATCCATCAGCTACATCTTATCATTAACCTAGATTAATTGTAAATGTTAAAATAGACTTCTATAGTGCAAACAATGGGGTCTTGATTAGCGCCTCCAGGTGCTGCTATCAAAGCTAATGAGAGGGCGGAGATTTCTGGAAAGAATTTCAATGAAAATTTGGAAATTCAATTTATGTAAAGGCTTTCTGCAGAAATTGTTACCTTTTCATAAAAAGAACTAGAAATAGAATGTGCTTCTTTTTGGGCTATGAGTTGAACATGTTTAGATTTTGGTGGGTGTAACAGGGGAGCAGCTCCCCGTTACTTTAAGGGAAAAACAGCAGCAGAGTTCCCCAGATGGAGGGAAACACTGCCCTTGAGCCGACTACAGGGGAATGGGTAGCCAGGGGGTAAAGGCCTTCAGTGCCTCTTGCAGGGCTAGCTCCTCTGCAACAGGCCAAGTAGGCCAGACCCCTGATTGGGCAGCAGGGGATACTGCTGCAGCAGCTAGCCCAGCACAGGCAAGCTGTCTTGGAGGTCAATAACCAAGCCTAATTGGAAATCCCTGTATGTTTCCAATCAGGCTTGATGATTGCCACCTGACTGACAGGGACAGCACTTAAGAGGCACAGAAGCTCAGGGCCCTGGTGAAAAGAAGAACTCCCAGAAGGGAGAGGGAACTACTTGAGGGACCCTGAACCAGCATGGGACAGAGGGCTGCAAAAGCCCAGGGTAAGGACTGCTCTGGTGTTTATCCATTCCAGGGGAGGAGGTTTCCTTTTAAAGTGGTAGCATGCATTTCTTCTTTTATGATGTTTGTTTTCCCAGAAAGGAAAGTTTGCATTAAGTAGTTGCTCACCATTTGCACTTAGGTTACCCAGTCAGAGTTGGGACCATCAGGGGTAAAGGCGGTCCCAGTGGTACCTTAGGGGCATGTTACTGCTTTGAGCCCTGCCAGGGGCCAAGCTCAAGGCACTAACGGATGGCACCTGGGGAGAGTTCAAGCCTAAGCTGGCTAAGGCATAACCCAAGAGGGTGAGAACCTGAGCCAAGGGCCCAAAGCCTGAGAGAGGCAAAACTTTAGCACAAGAAGGGTAAGGGCCAGGGACCCAAAGCCCAACAGGGGGAAAGAGGGGGTGATACCTTAGCCCAAGAGGGGTGAGAGCCAGAGGCATAAAACTGTGGGGGGCAGAACCATAGCCCAAGAGGGTGAGACCTAGGCTAGAACCTAGAAGCCATGTCTGGGCCAGCTAGAGCAGAGGGACAAAAGTGGAGAATGCTGAACTACAACAAGGGAGTAGAGGCCAGGGGTGGCCTGGCACTGATTTGGGGCAAAGTGCCCCACTTAAGTGATGAGATGACTTAACAACTGCAAGGCTGTAGGGGAGGTCAGGGACCATGAAATTAACCCTTGAGGCAATTACTGCCCTGGGGGCACAAATGAGCTGGGAGGGCTAGAACCTGAGGGCTGGACAGGGATCAGTGGGGTTTGAGAGGAACCGACTAATAGTGAACTAGGGCTTGCTTTGGGGCCCTGGGGCAGCCTTCCTTTTCAAGAATCAGTAATTCATCAAGGTGTGGCAGGTGGAAGAGAGGATATGGAATAGGGAAGAAATGGCAAGGAGGGGGGGAAGAAGTTGTTTTCATGGTTGTCCCTGGGACGTGGTCCTGCTACAGAGTTCTAGGAAAATCTATTTTTAACAAACTTTTTTCTTATGGTAATTTTTTTTTTTTTTAAATCACTACATAATCATTATACTACTAAAAAAAAGTCTGTAAGGGATAGCCAGTAGAGGCTGACAATTGAGGACATTTTAAAATCTGAGTAAGTCGCTGAAAGATTCATTAGAACTACTGTGTGATTCTATACAGTTGTTTTAAAGATGTTTCCCCACCCCACCCCACCCCCCCCCATACACACACTTCACAACTAGGTATTTTGTGGAAATGAGGAGGGGATAAGGTCCTAACAGTAGGATTCCAGGAGCTGACCCAATTCAGAGTAATAGTTTCTGCTGAATTTGCCTGAAGCATAAAGAGCAACAAGTGTGGATGTTTTCCATAGTCATCTTTATGCCATTTATTTGCCCATGCTGGGGGCAGATTCATATAATATACCCCTGAAATCTAAAGATTTATTTTAGAAACTTGGCTATTTTCTTCTACTGAATGAGCAGCAGCAAAAAGATAAACAGAATGTGCCTTGACCTCTGTTTTCAATTATATGTCTTGCAGTGTGGGTTTTATTTCCAGTTAACCAATTTAGAAATGTTTCATTACAGAAAATAAGACCTCTGCATTTCCTGGAGGGCCATTTAAACAAAAACTCAACAATGAGCCTTATGAGAGAAGAAAAATAAAACCAAGACATTACTATCCCAATCCATGTAAGAGTTTAACTGTTTCAGCAGTTTAATCCCAGATTTGTATTCATTCCAAATATATCACTGGTAAAATGAAGGCAGGGTAGAGTTGCACCTTGTGAACTAACTGGTAAAATAGGTTAGGAATAGTGCATCCTATATTCAATTCAGGAGACTGGAGTAGGTGGACCCTGCAGTGTCTTCCGACCCTATGATTCCATGATAAATCAACTATACTTCTGCTTCCCATGCATTCAAACTTCCTATTCTTTCTTAGTAAGAGGAAAAAGTTACAGTAACTGGAGGTCTTTGTGCTGCATGGCCTATATTTAGGTAGGCTAAATACATCCCATGGGCCACATCTGGCCCACAGACAGGTGCTTATCAATTCACTCTATCCAGCTTGGCCCTGGGCTGCCCCAGCTGTGCTCTCATGGGGGCCAAGTCCCACTCACTCTTGGGGGGGGGGGGGCAGTATGCATGCTGCTTTCCTACCCTTGCTCACAGGATGGCCCTGGCCCCAGCCCCACAGGCAGGGAAGTGTCTGGGGGGGGTAGCAACAACAGCAGCAAAGTTGGGGTTGGGGGTGTGTGGCCACAGCAGCTGGGCAGAAAGGTAGGAAAGTAGCTGGGATGGTGGCAGTGGATAGGACCAAAGCGGCAGCGGGGCAGGAGTATAGGGCCCACACTGTTGCCACAGGGCTGGAGCTGGTAGGGGCACAGGGTGGGGCAGCAGCAGTGTGCAGCCTGGGCTAGCAGGGGTGCAGTCCACCTGACTTCGTTGTGCAGGGCTCCCCAGGGCTTGCATGCAGTTCCCAGGTTCTCCACTTGAGCTGCACACCTCCAGACATAGCCCCATGCAATGGAATAAATGGCCTGGAACCACTTGCTGCCATGCACAGGTCACAGGGAACAACAGGGAGCTCCATGCTGTGAAGCTGGGCCAGCTCCACCCCTCTCCCTGGCACTGTGGCCAAGCCCCATAACCTATACCACCGGTTTCACTGTGCAGGGCTCAAGTACGTGAGCTCTGCACAACAGAACTGCCAGCCTGGCCACATGCAGTCCCGGGGCTCACCAGGACCAGGTGCCTCCAGGGGACTTCATCTGCCATGGTCCATTAGTGCCCTGAAGGCCCACTGCATGCTGCTGCCACTCGCAACAGGGGCTGTGCTGTTCATAGGGGAGGGCTCCTCATACATATACCTGCTGTCCCCTATCAACCCATACCCTACCACTACCTGCTCTGCCACTCCCCCCTCCCCCCCAATATACAAGAAAGAGACTTCATTTTGAGTAATTAGGCAAATCACCTCTATGTACACTATGTAAATGCACACAAATTGGGACAAATATATATTTATTTATTTTTTAAGTAAAATTAAAATATGTTATCATAGATGTTTGTTTTTAGTATATAATTTGTTGGGTTTTTTTTCCCCAGTTCCAAGATAGCAACCCCACCTTCCCAAAGTACTTCTGACTTAAAAGGCAGGGGCTAGGTGTGGGACTTATGGTTCCAAGATGGCAACCAGGGGTAGGGCACCTGTCAAGGGGTTGGGCTACCCTTGAAGCCCTTGACAGCTCACCAAAACTCATTAAGCAGCCCTCCAGCTAAAATTATTGCCCACCCCTGGTCTATATCCACATTTCATGTGCCACATGGGCTAAAGTTCAGATGTTTTTGCTTTATCAGTACCCATGAAGCAACATGCACCCTACTCTACACCACAAGGATCAACCTTCTCAGCAGGCATGCCACAGATTATCCCCCATCCCCCCGAAGTGCCACTTTGATCCCCTTCCTCTGCCCAATCTGCTGCCCTGCTTCCTGTTCCCTACTCTGGGATATCTCATGTTTTCTGCTTCCTGCCCTGTACTCCCCTGCTTTATCTTCTGTCTTCCGCATCTTCCCCTAGCTCCTGCTGTGCTGCCTATCCCTTCCCTGATCTGTTGCATGCCACACACAAAGGCTAATAACTAAGCTAAAGGCTGGCAACCCTGCTCTACATAAAGCTCTAGACACTCTACCCATAGGATAAGCTGCAGTTTCCTCAGAACCCTACAAGGGATGAGACTCCGAGGAAGAGATTGTACATACAGACAATGCATCTCAAATAACTCTGCTTACAGATATGCAATTTCTTTTTTTCCTTCAAAGGCTTTTCATATCCACATTCCCTTGAGAGTCAGTCTCAAAGAACAGATGCAGAATCTCAGACTCCTAGCCCAACATCAACTACAGGATCATTTTTCCAAATGTGGCATCTAGCCTGGAAGTTTTAGCAATGACAACACTTAGTGAAGAGGTATACAGAGCTTCAGACAGAAGCCGCCTTAGTAGAGAAATTCATGAAGAAGGCCTGAGCTCTGATAAAGTGGGCCCTTACTACCCCTTGGAGCTTCACTGATGGCTTCTGGATGGAAACTGCTTGTGCTTTCATCTTTTGATGTCTCTGCTATAGCTATAACAGCTGTGGTGACTATCAAAGAAGGTACTTCTTTCTTAGTGGCTCTTATGGCCTGTACAAGTAGGAAGAGAATATGGCAGGTGGAGAAGGTCATCTTCAACTTCAGTAGGAGCAGTATTATACTTCAGTTTTGCCAAAGGTCAGCCTGGAGCCCTTCAATTTTTGCAAGGCTTGATGTTTTGAAACTGAGACCTTCAGGCAGAACCTTGAAGGGTGGAAACAGACATCACCGTTGTACCATCATAAATTTTACAGCAACATAAAGTGAAAAAGATGTCCATACCTTCTGCTGCACTGCAAATGCTCAAATCTGTGGCTATGACTGAAGGTAGTATTAAAATCAAACCTCTTTATTGCAGACCACATCTGTTTGCTTATGATGGAAGAGCTCAAGCTATGTGAAGCTGCTTGGACTATCCAGCCCTCGGGGGCAGGGGGCTTGAGGGGCAGATTCATCCCCCTCAAGCCCTGGAAGCACCTCGGTCCAGGGCATGTGTCTGGGGAAGAAGGAAAACTCAGGGCTTCAGGGTGCATGCCTGCAAGCAGGAGTTCCCACATGCACTCATGCAGTGCACAGGGAAATCCCTCTGCAGTGGGATCAACAGGTGCAGATCACAGGCTGCAAGTGGGGAGGGGAAGGGAGCATGAGTGTGAGGAAATCCCCTGTGGAAAGATTTCTCCACAAGCCTGCAAAGGCATTTCCCTCTGGGCACCTGCAAATGTATAGGGCAGTAGCAGCCAATAATTTGGACCTGAGGGACACACAGGCAGTATTGGTAAAGTCATTGTAGGCCAGGTTGGCTCTCCACCATGCAACAACTCACCAAAACTCCCTATGGGGCTTGGTGGGTGGGGAACAGTGCTCAGGAGCAAGACAGGTGTGATCCCTCTCTGCATGCACTGCCATTGGGGGGCAGACAGGTGGTAGAGGGTGTATGGAAGGGGCATCTGTGTATGGGGGGGGGGGAGGAGAGGAGAGGAGAGGAGAGGAGAGGTGGCAGCTGCTGCCTGGGAGCCAGCCAGGGAGCAAATGCAGCAGAGCTTGCCTAGTCAGTGGCCTGGCCCCGCAGCACTCCATGTGGAGTCAAGCCCTGCCTAGGACAGCCCATACCATGGCTCCTGTCCCGGCCCCAGCCAGTGTACAGCTTCCAGCAGGGTTGTTCCCAGCACAGCTGCAGCTAACAGGGCCTGTACTGCCACAGGGAGGTGAAGGGAGCACAGCAGCACCTGGCCAGCTACAGCTGCACCAGGAACAGCCCCACCAGAAGCTCTGCGCTGGCCAGAGCCCAGGTTGACAGGGCTGTTTTGCTCCCCTTGCCTCTGGTTGCTGCTCCTGCCGTGCCACTCTAGACCAGGGGGAGCTTCAGCCAGGTGGCTCCTGCCCAGCACATGGAGCTCCAGCTCCAGGCTGCCTTTCACCCACTTGCAGGTGGTTGATCATCGCAACAGGCACACAGAATGGGTAAAAGGCCCAAAACAGCATAGCAGAAGCAAGAGCACAGGCCACTGAAATAAATGTCTTCTGCCCCAAAGATTAACTGATCTGATATGGCATTTAAATGTTATCTTGGCTTCAGATCAAGTATAGGCCCTTGCTTTACCCAGCCAAGAAATATGCCTGGGTTGATTATCAAGTTTTGTAATCAGGCACTAAAGGAGAAGTCTTTCAGACACAAACTTTGGCCAAGTTAAGAACCAAGTTCTCACTATTTTAAGTTTGTACTTTAAAAGTCTATAAAGATACCAAAATAAAGGTCACTTTCATAGTTTGTGTTTAATTACCATTGCCCACAGACAAGATAGTGGATTTTTAAATTCCCATCATATGCAATGACTTGTTCATTCCCCCCACTACTCTAATGGGGTCACATGCTGGTGTGCGGGCCGGGAGCGACCCGAGCCCTTTTCCGTGCTGCACGCACTACAGCTGCACCAGGAACAGCCCCACCAGAAGCTCTGCGCTGGCCAGAGCCCAGGTTGACAGGGCTGTTTTGCTCCCCTTGCCTCTGGTTGCTGCTTAGCGGTAGTTTTAAAGATTGTTTACTTACACCGAGATGGCAGTGGTGTAGGCTGGAAAACTTGCTTGAGCTGTAGTTACAGACAGACAACACGGACAATCACGTGGAGTTTGCTAGGCTCCACGGAACAGAGCTCTGGATGCTCTGGGTGAACGCGCCACCAAAATCGAAATCGGAGATGCGTCTTATAAAATTTGCGCTCGAAGACGGGAAGAGGTGGGCGATGGATCAGGTCGCCAAGCTCCTCTGAATCTCACACAGGGTCTCTATTACCCTGTCGTGTATCCAGAGTCCCCACGAGATGGATGTGGAGTCCTCTTCGGCTTGGGCGGAAACTGCTCAAGCCTCTTATACGGTTAACAGGCCAATCGTTAGCCACCACGTGGGAATAAATTTAAAACTAGCCAATAGCGGGGAACAAATTTGCATACCGGTGGCGGGAACTCTTTTGCACCTGGCATTCCTCTTGCAACTCGAGCAATGCACTCTGCAAAAGAAGCTGCAGAAAGGCAGGAAACTCGTCCCTGCACCGGGGTTTTCCTCTGTAACAGGAAACTCTCCCGTGCAATGAAGCTGCAACTTGGCGGGGATAATTCTGGTGCCGAAGCACACACAAATCATGCCTTTGGGTCATGACAGCTGGCAGCCAAATAAGACCACAGTTGCTCTACAGATGATTCTCTATTTGCCATAATGATAGACTGTACTGTGTTTTGTTTAGACTCACAAGGCACCTCTCAGAAAAGGCTAGCTTTTGGTGCTCACTCATTTCTTGACTACAGAAAAATAAAACAGAGCAATCTTTTTTTGCAAAGAACTCAAAGACCATAATGGGTTGACTTGTTTTTGACACTATGGGCTCCTATTTGAAGTCTCTGGGTTTATCTTGAAGATGTAGTGTGCAGATATTTACACACCAAACAGTGTTAATAGTGAGCGGTGCCCTTAAAAAGATCTCCACACTCCAAGCTGCTGCAACACCCGACTGAAAAAAATCACAGCATCAAATACCCAAAAAGCAGAAAATCAGCATAGTAAGAGAAAAATATGTAGCATGACTATGTCCCAGTTTAGCGGAGATAGTCCCAGATTTCAGAGGCCAGTCCTGGCCAGTTTATGAGAATGAATATGAGCATCCCAGAAATGCAGAGGCAAGGGGTGCAATCTGGTGGGGAGGCAGAATGGCATGGAGCAGGCACTGCTGCTTCTGTCTGCCCAGCGCAGAAGGACATCCCACCCCACCCCTGCCTCTGCCTGCAGCAGTGTGGCTGGCTTGGGAGAGGGGTGTCCCAGATTTCCCATTCCCCCATATAGTTACCCTAGAAATATGTAAAAGGATGAAGGTAACAATGACGAGACAGTAAATCAGCAAACAAAGAGAAAGTAGCAGAGATTAAATAATGAAAAGTACAGAGAAAAAAAAAAAACAGTAACAAGAAGAAAGGAGGCAGACCACACAAAACAACCCATTGAAACAGAACCTACAAATTGAAGAAAAAAAAAAAAAAAAAGTGTTATTTGATAGTATCTTCCAAAAACGCTTAATTCATAAACAGAGCTCATATTTAAAAGGATACAGTATAACCTCATAAATCCAGCATGCTCAGGACCAAGCATCTGCCAGATATTTGAAAACGTCAGATTTTTGAAACACAAGTAAAAGGAGCATGGAGCAGCAAGGGGGGGGGGGGGGAGGAAAGAGGAGGCAGGTGGAGGGAAGGATAGCAGATGCAGAGAGGGAAGCTTGCAAGTGGTGGGTGCTACCACATCCACCACTCTGTAGATAGTCACAGCTCCGGGACCAGCTGCCAAAGTGCCAGATTTCTGAGAACTCCAGATTTATGAGGTTATACTTCAAGGTTCCCTCTAAGGTGGCACGTGCGTGGCTGAACGCAATTAAAAGTGCAGCCGCGCACAGCCTTTTCAAGGCCGTGCACCAGGAGAGGAGCTGAAGGTCAGATCCTAGGTGAGGATCTGCTCCCCTGCATCAGGGCAGGGGAGTGGAGCACTTCCCCAGAGCTGGCAGAGCCCATGGCAGCCCCCTGCCCCAGCCTCCATCCCTGCCTTGCCTTACCTCGGGGAGGAGCCGTTGCCTGCCCCAGTGAGGCTCTGCCGGCTCCAGGACACTGCTCCGCTCCTCAACATTTCCCCGGGGAGCGAGGAGGCACGTGGCATCAGGGCCAGGGAGTGGAGCAGTGTCCCAGAGCCGGCAGAGCCTCACTGGGGCAGGCAACGGCTCCTCCCCGAGGTAAGGCAAGGCAGGGATGAAAACTGGGGAGGGGGGCTGGCACGGGCTTCGGGGAAGTGCTGTACTCCCTGGCCCTGATGCAAGGGAATGGAGCACTTCCCCAGAGCCTGCGCCTGGCCCCCAGCTCTGCCACCAGCCCCCTTTGATAAGTGTCCCACGCCGGACTGAGGCGGCGCACTCACGGACCGCTATTCCTTAGAGGGAACATTGTTATACTGTATTTTGTTCAGTAATAACTACTGGACCATCTCATTCTCTCACCTAAAGACTTAAGGAAAAACAAGATTTGGTCAGGTACATGGATGGGTGGGTGAACAGGTGAAACCATGATTAACAATAATGGCATTAATAATGTATCAGCAGGCACATTTTCTACTCATCAGTAATTAATTTATAGCTATGCTTGAAGTTTGGGGAAATCCGTACTGCTGAAAATGCTGGTTTTTAGGATAAAATGGCAAAAAGTCAACTTGTTATCTTGTGGTCACGAATCCTTTTGAGCCAATTTTTGAAGAGGTAAAGATATTAGCTCTAAATTCCCATTTGAGTGGATTTCCTTTTGTGAAGGAAGTCCTAGTCACCTATATGAAACCTCTCCTTGAAGTTTGTCAGTTCAAGTTCACAGAAGTGAACAAAAAGTGTGGAAGTAAAAAGTAATGTCCTCTAAGGAATTTAATGAAGAGAGGCACCTACTATTGCCACTTAACCCGAACTTCCTTTAAAACCAGGTTTAGAACTTACCCCTCTAAAGCAGATACAAGTTTCCCTCGTTTTATGCTGTACATGTGTTCCTGGAAAGTGGCACGTAACTCAAATTCGCATAAAGTGAACCCACTTTACAATGTAACAAATAGGGATATGTTCCAACACCAACTGTACTGACCCCCAGACCCATATAAACACATTTTGATATTAAAAGGGTCATCACATAAGAGCAAGTTTGCACATACAGAACACAAACAAAAAGTGAGGGAAACCTGTTAGGGCTGTGCGAAGTGGCTGTTATGATTCAGATTCGGCTGTTTCAGAGAAACAATAATTCAGTTCGGTGTTTCAGATCACTGTCCCAATTCAATTACGCCAAATCAGTTTCGGAATTTTGATACCGATTTAGAGATTCGGCTATAGACTAAAATACCTGCAACTGTCACTTTTTTTGGCTGATTCAGATGAAAACAGCAGGGATTGTAGCCCATTCTGGGGGTATGAAGCCTGCCAAGTTTCAAGGAGACATGTGCAGGGGTTTCTGTGAAACTGCACCTCAAGTGGTAAAAAGCAAAACTTGTAACACTTGTATGTGCTAAGGGGTGTAGGTTGTAGCCATGTTGGTCTAAGGCAGGGGTGAGCAGAATACAGCCCGGGGGCCAGATCCAGCCTGCAGGGCCTGTAAAAAACTTTGAAAATTAATATTCATCTGCTCTTGATTCCTATCAAAAATGACAGGAACCAAGGGCAGTAGGACCCAGAGGAAGCCCAGCAGGCTCCCAGAACAGCAGGGCCTACCAGGCCCTGCCCCCCACCCCCCCCA